TTGTCAGCCGTGAGGACTAAGATGGAATGCCTCTTTTCCAGTAAAAAGGGTCTCCGGTTCTCTACACTCACCAAACGAAACACAGCAGTGTTAAGCTGCCATTTTACGCTGTTATTCTGTGATCCTTCCCCGGTCGAGCCGACCCATTCGTGCTACAACTATACTACTAATATAGCTGCAGCATGGCTCTACCACGTATAAAAATGTAATCTTCTAGACAGTTTCTATGGCTTCTCGTAAATTTAATACTTATACCATAACAAAACCGCAAATTTTAATTTTTTTCATTCGTTAATACAGATCCACTTACAATCAGGTGGACTGTGGCTCGTTTGATATCTTTATTCTATGAAGAAAAAAACGACTAATTTGTATAATTCCCCCCCCCCCCCATCAACATGGTAGCGCAATTAGACAATAGACTACCCCAGGAGGGTACCAGTACCCCTGGAGAATCCCTCGCTGAGCATCCACGACCATGTTATTCCAATCCTGAGCGTGGGTGCTCAGGCTGCCCCGCGTATTCTGGGGGGGGGCAAAATTCCGCTCAAAAACAAAACTGCTCGGGGCAAGCTGAGCAACAATACCAAGGCGACCCCTGCCACGCTATCCGTGAATTTCTGCAACATCAGGGGACTTCACTCTAACCTAAACGCCGTCCACTACCATCTCGAGACGGCGAAGCCGGCCTTGCTCTTTTTGACCGAGACGCAGGTTTCCTCTCCTACTGATATTTCGTATCTCTCCTACCCGGGGTACAAATTGGAGCACTCCTTTGTGCCTCGGGCTGGAGTTTGCGTGTATGTTAGAGAGGACATCTGTTCTCGACGCCTCGGCAGTCTTGAAGGTTCGGACCTGTCCATCCTTTGGCTACGCGTAGACAGCGACGACCATCCGCGCGTCTACGGGTGCCTCTATAGGTCCCATAGCGGTAATGCCGAAACAGACCGACTCATCGACCACGTCCAAATGGCTGCAGATTCCTTGCTACAACAGGTCCCATCCGCAGAGATCGTGATCCTTGGCGATTTTAACGCCCACCATGCCGAATGGCTCGGTTCACGTTTAACCGATCATGCGGGGAGATCTGTTTATGACTTTGCCTTGGCATATGGTCTGACACAACTGGTTACTTCGCCTACGCGGATTCCAGATGTGGAGGATCATACACCTTCCCTGTTGGACCTTCTGCTGACCTCTCATCCGGACGGATATCAGGATTCCGTCGATGCCCCTCTCGGCTCTTCGGACCATTGTCTGATCCGGAGTATGGTGCCACTCACGCTCCCTTCGCGGTTGCGTTCTGCAGGTTTCCGCCGTGTTTGGCATTACAGGTCCGCGGATTGGGACGGAATGCGGTCTTTCTTTGCATCCTACCCATGGGGGCGGGTTTGCTTCTCGCCGGATGATCCCAGTGCTGTTGCTGACTCTGTCACTGATGTGGTGCTACAGGGAATGGAACTATTTATTCCATCATCTGTGGTACCCATCGGAGGCAGATCTCAGCCTTGGTTTGGTCGCTCCTGTAAGACTGCATTGCGCAGTAAGCAGGAGTGTTATCAAGCCTGGGCTGCAGCTTCGGTGACTCGGGATGTAAACACCAGCACACTTAAAAAGAAGTATAACTTCGCCTCCAGGTCCTTCAAAAGAGTTATTGCCAAGGCAAAGTCAGAGCACATAGGCAGAATTGGCGAGAGACTAGTTCGCCTTCCTTCGGGAACCCGTGCATTCTGGTCTCTCGCCAAGGCTGTCCAAGGGAATTTCTGTAAGCCATCACTACCATCTCTGCACAGGGAGGATGACTCACTGGCCCATGACGCAAAAGACAAAGCCGACCTTTTAGGCTCCCTTTTTGCGTCCAACTCGACTCTTGATGACGGGGGGAAAACACCGCCGACCATCCCGCGGTGTGAGTGCTCCATGCCGGATGTGCTGTTCTCACAGCGCTCGGTTCGCAAAGCACTGCTCTCCCTGGACATCCAGAAGTCGAGTGGGCCTGACGGAATCCCCCCAATTGTGCTGAGGACGTGTGCTCCGGAGTTGGCACCGGTCCTAACGCGTCTTTTCCGGTACTCCTACTCCCAAGGCGTAGTCCCGAATTCATGGAAGACAGCTTTTGTCCACCCGATCCCTAAAAAAGGCGACCGCTCAGACCCGTCCAACTATAGGCCTATCGCGATCACCTCCTTGTTCTCCAAAATAATGGAATCCATTATTAACTGCCAGCTCATCCGGTACCTTGAGGATCACCAGCTGATTAGTGACCGCCAATACGGTTTTCGTCGGTGTCGATCAGCTGGTGATCTTCTTGTCTACCTGACCCATAGATGGGCGGAGGCAGTAGAGTCCAAGGGGGAGGCGTTGGCCGTTAGTCTGGACATTGCGAAGGCCTTTGATCGGGTTTGGCACAAAGCGCTTCTTTCAAAGCTGCCTTCCTATGGGCTTCCCGAGAAATTGTGCAATTGGATCACCAGCTTTCTTGCAGATCGGAGCATCAAGGTCGTTGTAGACGGTGCATGTTCTGACTACAAGCCTATTAACGCTGGTGTTCCACAAGGCTGTGTGCTATCACCAACGCTGTTTCTTCTGCATATCAATGATATGTTGCTAACTGGTAACATTCATTGCTATGCGGATGACAGCACTGGTGATGCTCTATACACCGGCCGGGCCAATATTTCTCGGGAAAACGTCGCCGAGTACCGGAACAAACTTGTGTCTGAAGTCGAGTCTTTGCTGGACAAAGTCTCGGATTGGGGGCGACTAAATCTAGTCCAGTTTAATCCTCAGAAGACACAAGTTTGCGCGTTTACCGCTAAAAAGAACCCCTTTGTCGTATCTCCTCAGTTTCAAGGCACTCCCCTTCTTGCCTCAGCCAGTATCGGTATCCTCGGAGTCGACATATCGAGTGACGTGCAGTTTCGTGGTCACTTGGAAGAGAAGGCCAAATTGGCCTCTAAAAAGCTTGGCGTGCTCAGCAGAGCGGGACAGTATTTCATGCCGGCACACCGCCTGCAACTTTACAAGGCGCAGGTTCGGCCTCACATGGAATACTGTTCCCATCTCTGGGCAGGGGCTCCCCAGTGCCAGCTCCTTCCACTTGACCGCATCCAGCGCAGAGCGGCTCGAATCGTCGACGACCGAGCCCTTTCCGATCGGCTCGATTCATTGGCACTGCGAAGAGATGTTGCATCTCTTTGCATTTTCTTTCGCATCTACCATGGGGAGTGCTCTGAGGAATTGTTCGGATTAATCCCAGCCGCCAAATTTCACGAACGCACATCGCGGCAGAACTCCCGATACCATCCACACCATCTGGATGATTGGCGGTCCACCACTGTGCGATTTAGAAGATGTTTTCTTCCTCGCACAACTTCCTTGTGGAATAGTTTACCACCAGGGATTTTTCCGGACCGATACGACTTAGGGACCTTCAAGAAAAGAGCCTACTCCTTTTTAAAAGGCCGGCAACGCATCTGCAATTCCCCTGGTGTTGCGGTTGTTCATGGGCGGCGGTAGTCACTTACCATCAGGTGAGCCGCATGCTCGTTTGCCCCCTCTCCTATAAAAAAAAAAAAAATATAATTCGATTTTAACCTTGTTTTAATTTACTAGCTGTAACGCACGTGTGCTACACACGAGAAACGAGTGGCAATGTCCACTGAAAATTAAATATTTTGAGCAAACAAACTTACATTTTTATGCATACAGATTTTATCATTTATATCCATATATAAATTTGTATTCTATTATTATTTTTATGAGATGTTACAATTATTAGATATCGTAAGCAAACTATAATCATTTATGATTTTTGTTACAGTTATGACATTTCTGTATAATAGAAATAATATTGGTACTAAGGCGCTACCTTGAGGGACACCTTTATTATTTTCTCTGTGGCTAGACAACAATAGTACTATTTCATTGTTTACAGAATCGGTCATTCACAGCTTGTTAAACTATCTAATAATGAAGCACCAACACTGATTACCGGCAAACAAAGAACGTTAGATACACAACACTAAACTTAATAGGTCCTCTTCTCATCGAACATCGAACCCGAGTTGCTCGTGTACTGTGAAATTTACAGCGAGCGCTTAGCCCCTGTACTGCCAAGACTCATGTTGATGAGAGATAGTTTTATTAGGATAAATGAATGAGAGATAATTTTATTAGGATAATTAACTAAAAGGAATCATTTAAAACTGAAATGACAATAAACACCTTGACTTACAGCAGCGGTTTGAAAGGGATGTGAGACTGAAGACTTTTGTTGCATTACTAGAAGACGCAAAAGAGCCATCACAACGTTTTTACGGTTAATATATTTTAAGAAAGACTTAATAAAATTGACATTTTCTATGATTTATTCCGCCTGTAAGTAATATAAAGATAAGCAACATTTATATAGAAACAACTACAGGCAAAAACACAAACTGACTTTCTGCATACATTCCCTCAACATAATTTGTCGACGGCACTCGTTAAGACTTGTAGGTACGTTTTCAAACTAAGATTTTATTACCGTAATCTTTTTGAGAAAACATATTCCTATTTTGTTTAGTGTGTTTCAAGTATAAGTATATCACTACAGAACATTATTTTATGTCATTTAATTACGGTTTATGAAATTAGATTAAAATGTAGGTACTTAATGACTTAAGTCACCATTAAACAAATTAGTTCCTACACCTCTGAATAATAATCATATCTTTTGATAGAATGAACCGATTTTTATAAAACAAATATAGCTCGAAGATATGCTTTATGATTTTTAACGATTTTTTTGAAAAATATTTGTATTTTAGACGTGATTCGTTTATAAATAAACAGAGAGACAGACAGTCAGACAGACAATTCTAAAAATGCTATCATTTTTAGAATGTATTCAATGACATATTTTTAGTGTATTGCAATCATTTTACGACAATAGCTTACAATGACCTGAAATTTACAATTTTATTATATTTATAGAATTAGATAGAACATCAGCTTACTGCAAACATGAACGTGTTTACTTCATCACGAATTTCTTCAAAATCTATTTCTCCTTTTTTTTCTGCTTCAAGTAAGAAATCTAATAAGGCCAGTCGCTTCTTAGTTCCGTTGTTAGCATTGTCATCCAAATTCTGTATCACTGAATAATCTTCTTGACTCATCATTTTCTTCTTTCTCTCCATAATTACACTATCCGCAAATGAATGGACTTTATTCAAGCATTTAACATAATGTTTTCCCAATGGCGTCTGATAAAAAAATAAATCGACTTGAAGCCAAAATGTAATAATACGATTTACTATGTGGTTACCAATTTCTTTGATCGACTCTTTGTATTCAACGCTACTTTTAGAATTGTCATAATCCAGTTGGATTCCCATTGCCGTTTCTGTAATATATTGAACAGTTATATAATATATATATATATATATATATATATATATATATATATATATATATATATATATAAAGTTTACAAGTTAGTCTTTGTTGTCAATGCATCCGATTATGATAGATGGGTAGATACAATGCAAAAGTTACTTAAAAATTACGGTGACTAACAAACTCGAAAATTGCTCAAATAGTTTCAAAACGATGAAGGATATCTACAGTACTAAACAGAAAACTTACCCCAGCTCCGAAGATAATCACAAAAATATAAACACAAACTATTTATTTACAGCTACTTTTATCGAAGGTTTAGTATTTTTGATCGAGGCTTGTGATTTGACTCCGCGTAAATACTTATTTAACCAAAAATATATACCAACCGCAAATGTTGTAAAGTGTGAAATCGCTGATAACAGATAAAACGTCCACGTATTCTTCAGGCTTTTGTTTTAGTCTATGAACCAGATCACGGCTTTTCTCTTCAAACACTTTTGAAAAATTCTTAAGTATATTAAAATGGAATGTTGGGGTTAAAATTTTTCGACGTTGATGCCATTTGTTACCTAAAAATAAAACATTAACTTAAACTGAAAATATTTGTAGAAACGAAAATGGGAATTACTTCAATAAATTCTGCATTCTATAAAAACAGTAAGCAATGATGATAAAAGTCTAAAATCGTTCATTTGCTAATTTCTATATTAATTTATTGATACGAAACATTGCTTTACATACGTCTATGAAACACAAGAGGTGCTAAGTGGAAAAAGAAGTTGTTCCTGTAAGTAAATTAACCTATATAGTTTATCTAAATTCAGCAGAAGCATCTCCTCAACTCCGATCTTACCCCGTGAATGACAAAAAAGTCGACTTACGAAATTCCCAGCAATCCTCGATACAATTCGGTATAACTATGTAATATATTATATCAGAATTTATATATATACATCGGCAACAGTGAGCAAGATTAAAGGTGACCATCAACAAGGAAATGCGATCGTCAATTTACCACCAAACGTAACTATGAAGCAAAGCGGATCGGACATGGTAGGGTCATACTGAAGCTACAATACTTTTACACATACACATGAATGGGTTTGACTTGTGAATGACCACGATCTTATAGAATACCAGTGTAAAAAAGCAGCTTTGTACTGCTGCGTTTCCTCCGGTGAATGTAGAGAACCGGGACCTTTTTATTAGAATAAGGGTAACAAACGAGCAAGCAGTCCACCTGATGGTAAGTGGATGCTAAGGCCCATAGATGTGAACATCTATCCTCCATTGAGAATCAAAATGTGGAGGCGTTGTCACCAATACTAACATAGGATGCCTCATTATCATTAAAAATGGTCTCCAGTACCCTACGTAGCCATACGAAACACAGTGGCATTATGCTCCTATTTCACGCTGGTATTAAGTGAGAGCGTGATCCCACTACCCCTCGGTCAAACCGACCTATTCGTGCTTCAGCCAAATTGTGACTGCAGCATGATCGTGCCACATTTTTCTGGGGAAATAACAACGCATCTATATTTTGATTCTTAATCGAGGGTTTATATAGATATCTAAGGGCCACAGCATCCACATACTATCAAGTGGGCTGTGTGCTTGTTTGTTACCCTTGTCACTTATGAAAATGTGGTATGTGGCATTCTTGTGGGAGACATATGTTCAACTGAGCATAGATTACCTATAATATTATATAAACACCGCCAAGAAATTGTTAGAAAATAAAAGGACATATAACTGAAGAGGTCCACGCCTAACAATGGACTTCCTCTAGTAAAATAAAGAATGAAGAATATTTTGTTATATGAAATAACATCATAAAGTCCGGAAAATACCCAACCTTTCTCAATATTATTAGTTTCTAATAACATTTATGCTTTCGAGTTTCTTCTTTCACTTACCTGTAGCTATTAACAATCCAGTCCTAAGCCATGGCTGAAAGAATTTGTATTGCTTAGTTTTTCTAACATTCCTGGGATGTGATAATACAATCTGAAATTAAATAAGTTGGCCCTGTTACTAATATGCGGATCTTATCTATCTAAAGGTTTAAAATATTTATTAAACAAAAATTGTTCACTAAGGTGATTAAGGGTTACTATACTAAAGTGTATATAATTGATAACCCCTGGGATTGATGACCCCTGGGAATGGTGTGTTCGCTAACATTCTGAATGTTTTCATAACATTTGTAATAATATTATATTGTAATTTAAGCTTTAAATAAAGGCCCGCTGGGTTTCTTGCTGGTTCTTCTTAGAACATAAGTATTTTTCCGAACCTGTGGTAAAAGTTTTAAAATTTTCAATAAGAATATCATAATCAATATTAAATAAAAATGATTCTATTCCATGTTTGTTTTATTTTATACACCACCACGAGTAGCACGACCTCACAGAATAACAGCGTGTAGTAAAAGTGTTCATTACATCAACGTTTCATCAGGTTAACCGTAGTTAACCGAGGGCCCAACCCCCGTAATATGGTAGTGGAATTAGACGAATAGACTTGTTAGTCTATTTGCCTAATTCCACTACCATGTTACCAAGGGTTGGGTTACAAAGGACCAGCATAAATTTCTCAAATTTCTCTGGAGAATCCTATCCTGAAATGGGATTGGAGTATTGGTAGGTAGAGCATATTTGTCGGATCCTATGCGGGTGGTAGCTGGAGGGAGCAGACTCTCAGGGCTGTTGCCAAAAGCCACTCAACGTGGGACCCCACTCCCTTGAGGTGAGTGGTAGGTTCACGACACGCTCTGCGGTTAAAAGCAGTGCTGACCATACAATCGGCGGTGATGATTTTATGGATAGTATTACGTGTGCCTAAACCGTGTAACGCACATTCTTTGTGGATGGATTCGATGGTATTCTCTATGGCGTTTACATGTATTATTATACGAGACTTTGGTCGACGTCTGTACGTACACACTACCAAAGGGCCAAATCCTCTATTACTATTTCGTCAGTTATTTTGCTGTGGACTACGTTCTAGTTGCCAACTTCTCGTCCCTCTTCGAGGAGAGCGCGTAGTTTGGTTAGCGCTCAGTGCACACGACGTTGACCTGTGTGACTCTCTCACATATTTTTTTTAATGTGGGAGAGCGCAGCCCTTGTGTCTGGTATTTTATACAAATATTATGAGCCTTTTTCAATTCGGATAGGGATTAATGAATTAGGAATTGGCTATTGTAAACCTAATACACCTTTTTTTATTTTAATCCTTGCTTCTTGAACGGTGTTCTTTAGCTTAAAATAACTATGAGGTACTACCAACTGCTATCGGTTGCTCTAGTGAATAATCATTCTTCCAAAGGCACCTAAAAGAACTAAGTTACCAAACAAACACATGGTAAATAAATGGCCTATAAATAAACCTTTAGAAATATTCTTCAGAACGATCTATATTTATTAGCCTGGTCACGTAATTTATATTATTTAACGACCATATTTATATATAGAATGGGGGAAGCGTTACAGTAGCAAGGTGGTAGATTCAACCATCCAGATAATCTGGATAAAATTTTGAGTTCTGACACGGTGTTGTTCAATACCACTATAAAATAATAACTAAAGAAAGCATAGAAAAAGGTACCTCTATATCCTCTACGTCGTAAATATGCAAAATACGCCGATTGAACACCTTGATTACGTATCGGTGGCCGTACTTTTTTGGATACTCGAGCGTCCGATAAAAGAGGTCAACTGAAATAAAGAATAGCCATTTTAGATGAATACAAAAAAAAAGGATGTTCTCAATTCGACTGTAAGTTTTCGAACAGATTTTAATCATCTTTTTAATTAAATAGGTTTTACCTAAATGGGAGCACATATAAATTTTAAGAAAAATCCTACCCTCAATATTTTTTAATATAAATTCAGGCGATATTGTAGTTGCTACCTTGAGGTTGTGATATTCCTTCGTTCACTCAAAAAGGTCAAATAATTAACCTTTAAAAAAGTAACAGTTTTTTACTTTTTAAAGGTTTATTATTTGACCTTTTTAATTAAAACAATACCCCTAAAAACTGAAATGAAATTCCTTGCTACCAGTTAAAAGAATCTCATGTGCTCCACTCACGATACGCAATATTGTGCTGTATTGTGCTTTTTATTACGCGCTAATTTAGTGCAAGCGTAAGTGTAAGATCAGCCATTAGTCGCTGCATCGTAGCTATAATACGTACAAATACAGTATATCCCCGCACTCAGATAATGTTCTGCAGACCGATCATCGGTCACGATAGCCAATCTAAGCGCAGACTAGCCATTTACATAGGACAGGATTATAATGGGCGAGTGTATGCGCAAACACCACCTATGTTGTTACACTCTCGATTTCCTCACTCTTTTAGTCTGATGGGCACCGGCCCATTACCGAATCTGACACGATCTAAAACATATCAATATAAATAAGCCCAGAACTAACTTTATGTACTTTTCTAGCCACCAGGCTGAAATTGACTCAACTTCCTGGCTCTGGACTGCTATCACAAAAATAATGACTAAAGTGACAACAATTTAATTTTACATAGTCATCATTACCAACAAAATTCTTTAGTTCATAGCTGTAAATAGACATTTCCAATCAAATTTGAAACAATTGGTGTTTGTCGGGCTGTTTAACAATTGAAATATTATATGGTACAAACATCTAACACTGCTTGCCGATGTCACTGGTTTAAAAATAAATATTAAAGTCTGTGCAGCCTTATTACATCTGGTAAAATACGATGCAAGTAGCGTCATTGTGAACGTGAGCGAGTCGATCAGTCTGGCAGACCGGATGGGAATAGCCATACGCATGCGATTTCTTCTGTCAAAGTATAAGTCCACGCAGTCCTATACGTACAATAAAATTAGTTGCAGCCGCACTAATCACTAGACTAAATCCAGTTGCAAGGCTGAATCGACGTCCTAAAAATGCTGAATCAAATTTTGCAGCAAAAAGATATCTGCCACGTCAGATTTATAGAAAAGGTGTTTCCTTTCATTCAAAAGTAATTTTTAATCACACTATTGCTAGTTACTCCTTTTTAAACTTAAAAATTCCAAAAATAACGGTCGTGTTGTTTTGGATTTGCTTACCAACACAGGCCGCTTTCAATATGCAGATAGGTCGAGCGACTGATCCAAGTTATCGTAGCAATACTGTTATAATGTACCTATGTATGTGTGACATTGGTACTTTATTATTTTAATTGTTATGTGTGAGTTTCAGAAAATTGTTATTGTGTGTGCAGTTTTCCCTCTGCAAAAAATGACAGACATCTTTGTATCGGGGAAAAACGCTATAGCTATATAGACATATATATATATGTTTCTGTACCGCCGGTGGCTGGTGTTGCTATATGCTGGTGGTAATCAAAACAACAGTATTGTTAATTAACTAACGTATTTATTGGAATTTGAACACAGAGTTAATTAAATAATACAAACTTTAACACGAGCCAAAAAACCGATATCTTGATTGTGACAAATTAGAGCAACCAAAAATCATAGAATACCAAAGAGTAAAAGGTAGGAAGCTATAAACAATTTCATTGTTATTTTTATACTTTATGAATATTAGGTGTATACTAACTAACTTAGTCTCTAAAAATATTAGATATTTGACTAATAACAAACACTTCAATTAACAGCATATATTTAAAAACAATACTTTATAGGCATTGCCAGGGCCAGCATCCAAGCTCATTGTCAGATGAGCTCCATGGTACCATATTATTGCATTGTCATCAAAGTGATATAAGTATAATAAATTAAATCTCAGTCATATTTCAGCAAACACATACGAAACTTGTAATAATATACTCACCGTTAGACACCCCAATGAAATTAAATGCGTTTCCAACGACAGGCCATTTCGGCGGTCCTGGAAGTCGGTCCACTGGATTTTCTTCTTCATTAAATATGAATTTCCATATAAGAAAAGCTATTAATACAGCCAGTCCAATTTGCAAAATCATTTTGTACTCCAAGTAATTCTAGTAGGTGATCTGAAATATTGACATCATTATCATCTGACAAATATACTGCTGAACATAGCACTCTCCCAAGGAATGCCATGAAACACGGTCGAATTACCGTCCCATCGGACTATGAAAGTGAGGGAATAGAGAGTATACCTGTGCTTGCGAATACGCTTAGGCAATAGACCTATCAGATGGCTAGTCTCCATTGAAGACTGGCCGCCGTGACCGAAATTCGAAATTCGAAAGTCTGGAGGACATTATTTGCACTCTTTATGCATATTATGACGTTCTACGTACACAATAATTGTTGCCGTTTTTCCATTCCGTAGACACCCCTATTGGTGTGCCAAGGATGTGCCATTAGCGAAACAAAAAACGTTGTTGACAAATTAATTAAGTCTATGACTTAGTAAAATTAAGGATTTTTATTCATTCGGTTCGTAATATTTATATCAATGCACGTTAATACAAGTTTTATCTGACATCTTACAACATAAACGTAGTCGTGAAACGTAACTTACATACTTTGTTTATAGTAGAGAGGGCAAACGAGCATGTGGCTCACCTGATGGTAAGTGAATACCACTGCCCATGAACAACTACAACACCAGGGGGATTGCAGATGCGTTGCCGGCCTTTTAAAAAGGAGTAAGCTCTTTTCTTGAAGGTTCCTTAGTCGTATCAGTCCGGAAAAATCGCTGGTGGTAAACTATTCCACAAGGAATTTGTGCGAGGAAGAAAACATCTTCTAAATCGCACAGTGGTGGACCGCCAATCATCCAGATGCTGTGGATGGTATCGGGAGTTTTGCCGCAATGTGCGATGGTGAAATTGAGCGGCTGGAATTAGTCCAAAAAATTCCGTCGTACATGCGATAAAATACGCAAAGAGATGCAACATCTTTACGCAGTGCCAGTGAGTCAAGCCAATCGGAAAAAACTCAGTCGTCGACGGTTCAAACCGCTCTGCGCTGGATGCGGTCAAGTGGAAGGGGCTGGCATTCCATGTGAGGCCGAACCTGCGCCTTGTAGAGTTGCAAGCGGTGTGCCAGCATGAAATACTGTCCCGCTCTACTGAGCACGCCAAGCTTTTTAGAGGCCAATTTGGCCTTCTCTTCCAAGTGACCACGAAACTGCACCTCACTCGATATGTCGGCCCTTTTTATGGAAATGAGGCATTCCATCTTAGCCCTCACGGGTGACAACGCATCGTATTTTGATTCGGAAACGAGGATAGATGTAGATGTCTATGGGCCGCAGCAACCACTTACCATCAGGTGGACTGTGTGCTCGTTTGTCATCCTTATCCTATATAAAAAAAAAATCTTGTGTCTTCTGGGGATTAAACTGGACTAGATTTAGTCGCCCCCAATCTGAGACTTTGTTCAATAAAGTCTCAACTTCGGACACAAGTTTGTTCCGTTACTCGGCGACGTTTTCTCGAAAAATATTGGCACGGCCGGCGTATAATGCATCACCAATGCAGTTTTCTGCATAGCAATGAATATTACTGGTTTCCAATATATCATTGATATGCAGAAGAGACAGCGTTGGTGATAGCACGCAAACTTGTGGAACACCAGCGTTAATGGGCTTGTAATCAGAGTATGCACCGTCTATTACGATCTTGATGCTCCGATCTGCAAGAAAACTGGTGATCCATTTGCACAATTTCTCGAGAAGCCCATAGTAAGGAAGCTTCGTAAGAAGCGCTTTGTGCCAAACCCGATCGAAGGCCTTCGCTGTGTCCACACTCACAGCCAACGCCTCCCCCCTGGACTCCACTGCCTCCGCCCATCTATGAGTTAGGTAGACTAGAAAATTACCAGGTGAGCGAACTCAACGGAAACCGTACTGGCGGTCACTAATCACCTGGGGATCCTCAAGGTACCGCATGAGCTGGCAGTTAATAATGGTTTCCATTACTTTGGAGAAAAAAGAGGTGATATCGATAGGCCTGTAGTTGGACGAATCTGAGCGGCGACCAAAGCTGTCTTCCATGAGTTTGGGACTACGCCTATGTAGTAGGAGTACCAGAAAAGACGCGTTACAACTGGTGCCAACTCCGGAGCACACATCTTCAGCATAATAGGTGGGACTCCATCAGGCACACTCGACTTGTTGACGTTCAGAGAGAGGAGTGCTTTACGCACCGAGCGCTGTGTAAACAGAATTTCCTGCATGGAGCACTCACACCGCGCGATGGTCGGTGGTGTGTTCCCCCCGTCATCTAGAGTCGAGTTGGATGTAAAAAAAGAGCCTAGCAAGTCGGCTTTCTCCTTTTCGTCATACGCTGGTGAGTCGTCCATCATGTGCAGAGATGGCAGAGATGGCTGACAGAAGTTCCCTCGAACAGCCTTGGCGAGAGACCAGAATGAACGTGTTCCCGAAGGGAGTCGAACAGTTTCTCACCAATTTTGCCGATGTGCTCTGACTTTGCCTTGGCAATGGCACTTTTGAACAACCTGTAGACGGAATCATACTTCTTTTTAAGAGCGCTGGTGTTTATGTCCCGAGTCGTTATTGCGTCACACCAGGCCCCGTAGCACTCCTGCTTAAAGCGTGATGCTATTTTACAGGAGCAAACAAACCATGGCTGGGATCTGTCTCCGATGGGCACCACAGATAATGGAATAAAAAGTTCCATACCCTGAAGTACCATATCAGCAACAGAATCGGCAACAACGCTGGTATCTTCCGGCGAGAATCAAACCCGCCCCCAAGGGTAGGATGCAAAAAAAGACCGCATCAAGCTGCAGATCGCAACTGCGATGGGAGAGTGAGTGGCACCGTACTTCGGATCAGACAATTGTCAGAAGAACCATGAAGCGCATCGACGGAGACCTAATATCCGTCCGGATGAGAGGTCAGCAAAAGGTCTCTCAATATTATCTCAATATTTATATGATGATTGTGGAAAAAATAATATTTTATATGTTAATATTTATTTTATATTTTAAAATATCTTACAAATATCATTTTACGAAGTCACTTAAAGAGAACAATTCTTAGACCCGCTAAGTAGATGACGATGTTTTGATAAGATCTAACAGTTTCTGAAATTACGTTCATTACAATCTATCAAAGTCAACTACTGAACATAGCCCTTCCCACAGATAATCTCGTAAGGGAAGTATTTTCCATATTTTCCACTTTTAGCAGGCGGGTTGGCAACCACAGTTTTTTTACTTTGGATCTAGTTGTTGTTAAGAAGATTATGTGAAGATGGTGCCACACCCATGGGACGATTTGGGCTAGTGGACATTCCTTCAACGCCAATACACATTTTTATTTGAATACTTATGTTATAAATTTCTACTTTATTACTAAATAGATCTGGGAAAATATTTAAAAAAGGTTATTTCAAGCATAAAATATCGCGCTTAATTCCAAATTTGCAACTATTTGTAGGAGAAATTTAGTATGTATTTTTCATATGAAATTTTATTCAATAAAATTTCAATAAATTTTTTAAATTTTAATTTTGTCACAATAGTATTAATCAGTAGTGAAGAATAAAAATAAAAATTAAAGTTGTTTATCGACGGTCCTTAAAAAGTGCTAATTGATAAAAAGTGGAAGACACTGCAGCATTATAGTTTAAGTATACGTTATTGTGTGGATTTATCCCACATTTTTTTTTTCTTGTTTTTGTAGAGTTTTAATGTATTTTTACTAATCCTAGCTACAATTTAATTTGTTAATAACACTGACGTGCTCTGCCTGAAGTAAATCAAGAAATAATAACTATTATTAAAAAATTACATCAAAAAACACAACAAATTTCTTCGATTCAAAAAATATCTAAATTATGTTGTAGAGTGCAGTCGCTTTGCCACGCACACAACAAACAAAACAAAAGCACCATGCGCGAGCGCTGATACTGATAGCTGTTATCGCCCGCGTAAATTACTTCCGGACGGATCTGTTTTTTTATATTGCGAAATTAAGTATCCGCCGTGAGTGTATGCGATGTCTTACTCGAACGAGGAATATTTTAATATTTTGATGTGTATCGGGAAATGTGGCTGCAATTATGTAGAAGCACGAAGACTTTACGAGGAGCGCTTTGCTACTCCACGAAATATACAATTGCCGTCGGCGATGACGTTCCAACGACTTCACGTTCGTATGTACAATACTGGCAGTGTGCATTGCCGTGATCAACAACATACAGATTTAGAACGACCGAGAATGTACGACGAAGGCATCGAGGAGCACATTCTCGATATGTTTGGGGAAAATCCGACGCGGAGCATACGCTCGGTGGCACGTGAACTAGGTGTGAACCATACGCGTGTTTGGAGAGCCCTCAATGTTGATGGCCAGCACCCGTATCATTATCGTAGAGTTCAGTGTCTACTTCCTAACGACTACGAGCCGAGAATGGATTACTTTAGATGGTTACTCGATAAGGTTGAAGGAGATCCTGAGTTTTTTAACCGCGTACTTTGCACAGATGAATGCTGTTTTGTTAGAACAGGTGTATTTCACGCTCATAATGAAAAGGTATGGTCAACTACTAATCCGCATTCCTACAAACCAAGCCACTTTCAACACCGATGGAAAATCAAGGTCTGGGCGGGAATCATAGGTGACAAAATTATTGGTCCGTATTTTCTTCACCATACAATGAAAACTACGTACGCTTTTTGCGAGAAAAACTAAGCAATGTACTTGACGAAATAAATCTAGATCTCGTTCGTCGCTTGTGGTTTCAACACGATGGCACACCACCGCATTTCTCCTGTCGTGTAAGAAATTTTTTGATACTGAATTCGGTGAAAGATGGATTGGCCGTGGTGGAACGATCAACTGGCCGACGCAATCACCTGATCTCACAACTTTGGAATTTTATATCTGATTTACGATTAAGCATTCTGTATTCCAAAAAAAACATGCGGTACGATGGCGGAAATGCGTATGCGAATTGTCGCATCCTTTGAAAAAATAAAGTCCCAAATATCTGTTATACAAGCATGCGTTCAGATATTA